ATATTTTATTGGGATTTAATTTCGCTAATCTCACGGCTTTAAAAATTTTGTTAAAATTTTTACATATAAAAATTATTTTTTACTATACTAAAAATGGCTAGTAGAAGAAAAATGTAAAAAGTTTTCCTTGTCAATAAGCTGAAAGGTGATTCACATGAAATATTTTCTCTGGGACATATACCATCTATATGGTAATTTGATTGAAATAAATTTCAACACCGTATAGCAGGTATATTTTATTCTAGTTTAATTTCGTTCTCAATCCTTTTGAAACGAATATTTTCCAAATGGAAAGGGGGTTTCCTCTGACACATGTGCAAAATGGCTGCTGAAATTGAAATAAATTGAACAAAAATTTTTAATCCTACTTAAAACAAACGATTTGCCACACTAAATGTACAAGCTGTACAGTAATTAATTTTTTTATTGAAAAAAATTGTTTCACTATTAGTTTATATTCCCTGCACTCGGTACCCAGCAAGGTTTTAAAAATTTTAAAAATTTTACATTCAAAAATTGTCAAGAAAGTTAATTTAAAAATTAAAAAATATTATATCACAAAAAATTGTGTGATACAAATGAAATATAGTACATAATTAAATTTAAAAAAAACAGAATAAATAAATAAGTAATTTTAAATTAAACTTCTCGATTGTACTAATGAACAATTGTTAAAATATAAATTAATTGGAAAAATATTGTCAAAGAATGAAACATAAATTCAAAGCTTAATTACTAATTTTCAACAAGAAATTATTCACTGAAATATAGCATAAAAATTGAATGAAGATGAAGGATTTCGCAATAATGAAAGTGAAAGATAATTTTAGCAAGTAAAAACTTTAATTGCAGAAAGGCATAAAAAACATGTTTATGAATGAAGTCATAAAAATAGCATTTCATTTTGTGTAACTACACTTCCTGCCATTTTTGTACAGCAATTTTTGAATAATTAATTTCCATTAATTTTTAAAGAGGTTCAATGTCTGCAAAATTTACAGTTTCTTTAATACATGTCTTTAGCACTACACATCAGCATTATAATCATGCTGAGCAATACAATATTAAAAGAATATTGAAAATTATTATCAGTATGATTCATAATTGTAAACCTAAGTCATAGGTAAAACATGAGACAAGGGATCAAAATGTGGAAAAAACAACTTAATGAAATTAATATTAATGAATTGTAAAAATCAACATTATGACGTAAGGACAATACAAATTTTAAACTAAAGATTAAAAGAATTTTCTTAATAAGAAAATTAAATACCTAAGATAATAGAGGGTTATTAGAATACTAAAAATAAAAAACTTATTTGATAGATGCAGTACGAAATAAAACTAAACATTTCCAAGAATTAAATAAACAGAAAAGAATATAACTGAATGAATGATGAAGTTTTAAAGCAAAATAAAAATAAACTACACAATAATTCAACAAATAGAAACCAATGATATAATGTAAAAAACAAACACAGCAGACAATCAAGTCGCAATTCTATGAATGTGTTCAATAAGGGTGAACTCACTGTTTCACAGGGATAACTTTATTTGAGCAAAATAAATGCTTGAGCCTCGCAAAAGTATTTTGTCAGAATACGTGACATCTTCATTCAATCCTATAATCGACTAAAGTAGTACTCTGCTAGTTGACCTACATGTACCGACTTCTTGGGCTTCCCTGTTACATGTTAAACATTTTGTAGCTACAATGCCTTCAATATGTTCTAATATAATACAGACCTACAAAACAGCATTAATTACAAACTACTTAATATTAATAGGTGGCATGTCTAATAAAACAGCAAATACATGTATATATTGATATGTAACATTTGTAATTGAAGAAATTAGTAAGCTTACAAAATATGTATTAATACATTAATCATGTTATCAAAATTGGTCAAGACTTTGGAAAATATTAAAAAAAAATTGGTAGCTTCATTTAATAACACCATCAATATAATTTTCTCTTAATGCAATAAAAGCTACCTAGTTCTCACAAATCAAAAGGTATCACCCTCGTGAAATGATCTACCGGCTCCAGACAAGGGCTTGCTTGACTCACCATTTCAAGTGCTTGCCAATAAATTGTCTTGTGGTTCCAATCCATTTGAATAAAAATTCTAAAATTGCTTAAATTTAATCTCATACTATTCTCTGTCTACAAACACTATCATCAGCTTCTTGATCTCCATCTAAAGAATGTTCCACCAAGCAAATTGATGTTCTCATTCTATAGCAAAAAGATTACCAAAATGTCTTATCAAAGAAACAATTTCATATGTATCTTGATTTTCATTAGTATCCATCTGCTAAATATCATTAGGCTTTCAGAAACAGCTTGTGAATTGGAAGTTTTAGTTAACTATTCATGACAGTATCACACATGCCTTTCTTTTCAACACCAACCATTTCATCTGAATGATGATTCTGACCAGTAGTATCCATCTCCTCAATAATAACGTCTAAGTTTTCAAAAAGAGCTTGTGAAGAGCAGGGGCGGATCTAGGGGGGGCCTTGGGAGGCCAGGTCCCCCCAAAAATTTTTCTGGTCATGTATAAAATTAGTTTTATCTATGTAAACTGTGAAACAGCTGCCTGTGTAAACAGTCTGTAAACCACAAAGGAGCTCATTTAAGAGGCCTAATCTTCAAGATTTTGACTTCCCAAATAAAATCCTGCAGGCCTAGTTGACCACACCCACTAATTGCCCCACCCATGTCATTATGGCCTCCCCAAAAATTCAATCCCAGATCCGCCCCTGGTGAGGAGAAAGTTGCACTTCAATTTTTGGCCAGTACATTCATACCAAACGAACTTCTAGTACCTAGAAGTAAAATTATTGAAGTGACAGATAGCTTGTGTAAAAGCATAATTTTACTTAAAGCCATAATCAATTAAATCACTACAAGATAGTTAAAAATTGGCATATGGCAGTTTGTTTTAAGGAGAAAAGCTATCACAATATTAGGATGACTGCCAGAAGTTGGTGATGAATACTCATCTAAATGGATCTGATCCAATACCAATTGATAGTAGCCAATAAGGGAGCATCAATACACTTTCGATATAATGATTTAGACAATACCCATGGAGTCACATCACTTACAACTAAATACTTCCCATTATACATGCACTTTATTAATTATTTTTGAAATTTCATCTTCATGTATCAATGTTAAGTAGAAATTAAAGTGATCTATGTTTCGATCCACATTCCTTCAAAATTTAAAATACTGACAATCAGATACAAATAATAATACCATATATATCATTTGTATTAATAAAAACATGGAGCATTAATATCAGTGATAGTTCAATGCTAATCCAAAGAACCATGAAAGTTTTACCCCACGAAAAGTAATACACGTACATGTAAGGTGCTATACAATAACTTTAAAAGTACTTGTGAATAGCATACGTTACATGAAGTACAGAATAGAAGGCTCCTTTGATGTTTCTATACTTACCTGAAAAAGCACAATGATTATCATAGACATGACTCCTGAAACTTTTAAAAGTGGTTAAAATTTTCTCACAAGTTCCAAAGTTACATTCTATAGGTACACACTCATCATGGTAAGTTTTCATATGACTTGGATTGGTTTTCAAATGATCAAATCTTCTCAAGCACTCATGTAGGGGACAAATATACTTGTTTCTCATTGGACCGGCGATTTTCCTCTTCTGTGCAAAGCCACACCCAAATATTAATAATTGCAACTGCAGTGATTCATACCATTGCCTATCTACTGGTTACAGCAATGGAAGTAGTGTTGCAATATGTGGATATTGCTGTTCTTAAGCAATCCGAAAAGATTTAAAAGAATTTTTTACTAGAAATGGATGTCACACCCTTGGTCAGGCTGTGTTTGATAACAATGTTTCTAGAGAATAACTACTATGGCTCAATCACAAAGACATTACAGGTCTGGTTCCATCAATTGGAGACAGAGTAGTATTGAGGAAAATGATTGCAATCCTAAAGGTAAAAAGTAGCAATCAATTTTATGATTTCACAATACTAAATTCTATGAGCCTCATTCTACTACTGAAGTAGCCAATCAGTGTAGTAAATGAAATTCAAAGGCTAAGAGCTTGGAGGAGTCTGTAGGTGAAACAATAGCACAGGAAAGTGCGACATCGAAATAATGCTTTGCATTGAGAATGTGGGAGGGACTGCATCTAAAGTTCAGCTAGATTGGACCAAAGGATTCTCATTTCCAAAGTCATTTAGCCCTTGGACAATGTCATATTTAAAGGGACAAAACAAATTGGTCCTTACTAATGAAATGAGGCAGGACATTGTGAATTTCTTATTATTCTAGGTATTATACGCATTAACTCGAATTCATTATTTGAAGTTGTGAATAAAGCATGCTATAGCTAGCTGTTGTTGAAAAAGGGAACTTTTAACTTGAAAACCAGGCTATCATGATTATCATTAATTCTTCTTTAATTTGCTTGCTTGGATATGATACTTCTGTATGATGCTGCCATAATCAGAAAAATATCATTATACTCCATAGTACATTCGATCTTGTCAAAAGAAATACATTTGTGGTAAATGTCCTCAGTTGTTGACAAAGCCCTTGCACTATGTCACATCCTTTGACACCCACTTCATGCCTAAATTATCTTTAACTTAGCATAATTAAAGACTTTATTCTGGTACATTTAAGGAAATACAATGTATGTGCATTTCCCTTTTGTAATGTATGATTAAATTGCTTTACTTTCATGTACATGCTAGCATTACAGCACCATGAAAGTATGCCTATAACATTTAATTATCGCGTCACTAGTCTGGCCCGCCCCTTCGCCGAGAGGAAGGAAGGGTCTGGAGACACTGCTACAGAAACTGTTGCACTGTGCATCGGTTTAGGTGCACCAATCGGATTGCTGCACTCACGTGTTTCTTTTCCTATCATGTGATAAGCAGTGGCACGATTACTAGGATATACTATGCTAAAAGAAGAACAGGAGACAGTCATTATGGCATTCTTAAATGGCAATGATGTTTTTGCATGCCTTCCCACTGGCTTTGGGAAGTCACTATGCTATTTTTGTCTCCAACCAATATTTGATGCCATCAACTGTCATGCCTCACCTTGGTCTGTTGTGCTAGTTATCAGTCCACTTCAAGGTTTGATGCAAGACCAAGTTGAATTACTGACGAAGAAAAATTTGGCTTCTATTTGTGTCACTGGTAATGAAGACAGCAGTGTTAAAACAAAAATAGTTTCTGGCGTCTATCAATTGACTTTTACAACTCCTGAAGTTTTGTTGACCAAGAAAGACAGGAGACCTGTATTTCAATTTCCACTGGTATGTGAAAGATTGGTCAGAATTATAATTGACGAAACTCTTTGTGTTAAGAAATAGTAAGTAATAATGACTATTATGGTTAATTGTTTCTTTTTTGTTTTAGGGGGAGTCAATTTAGAAAGGAGTTTTGTAAGCTAGGCGATCTTCGTGGATATTTTTCTTCCAGTATCAATTTCATGGCATTGACAGCGACTGCAGCACTTAAGACACGTAAAGAAGTCATGCGGCTATTGGGGATGAAGAATCCTATTACTATAATAAGGTCACTAGAAAAGTCTAATATATACTACAGTGTATGTAAAAAAGATGAAGTTGGAGTCCAGCTAAGTTATGTAATGGATGAACTTTGTGAGCATCGTACAGTAACTGACAAAACGATTATTTTTTGCCGGACTTATAGAGACTGTACGGAATTGTATTTGATGTTCAAAAGAAAGTGGAAGGACAATATAATTGAACCACCTGGCTATCCTGTTGTCACCCCATTTTGTCTGGTTGACATGTTTCATGCCTGTAACAGTAGCAGCGTGAAATCTGGTATCATCAAATCGTTTCTCTCTGATTCACAGTTACGAGTTCTTGTTGCAACAGTGGCATTTGGAATGGGAATAGATTGCAGTGATGTTCGGCATATCATTCATTGGGGACCACCATCTGACATCGAAAGTTATATTCAGGAAACTGGGAGAGCTGGTAGGGATGGCAGACAAGCACGTGTAGTATTATTTTATTCAAGGAGAGATCTTGCCCAGCCGTATATTGAAGAAGACATGGTGAACTAGTGCTTAAACACTTTGACCAGCATAAGACTATCACTATTCAAGAATTTTGATTATTCTTGTGACTTAAGTAAAAACGTCTGTACATGTACTTGTGACTTTTGTGCAATGATATGTGAGTGTAGTAACTTAGTAACTGTTTTACAGTATAGTTTATGTGATTGCTATTATTAACATTATTAGTAATAATTGTCATTGAAAATAGAGAAAGAGGGGGAGGAAGGGAAAGGGAGAGAGAGAGAGAGAGCTAAACTATTTTACTAAGTTGGTTCAACCACATTTCTAAATCTGACTGATTGATTTTACAAAATATGCTTTCCTTACACTTCGGAAATTGACTATGCTTCCTTCGTTTATCATCAAGTACATTTGCCTTTTGTAATTCTTCTAATAGCAGTTTTAGGTCCTTCTGTAGGATTTTACTTGAATGATGACCATGTAATACTGGGACATCAGCACATGTGTCAAAATTGTTTAAAAAGTTAACAAGAAGTCGCACACTCCTGCCAATTCTCTCAATAGCTTGAGCCTCATTCACATTGGATGACAGTCCTCGCATTCCTTCCTTTACAATCCAGTTCAAGTGTTCATTGTGTATGGAACGCCAAAGCCGTCAAAATTTAAAAAAGACTAATGAACAATAAAAAAGACACCGTGGCGATGCACATCGCAACATTTTTACGATCACAAATCGTTTTATCATCAATGGTCGATCAATAATTGCTAAACCCCACCCACTGAGCACATTGACCCCACCCACTGCATGTGAAACCACAATGGCAGAGTCTGAGTTCGTTGAGTTGACAATATCTCGATGCCTTTGTCTGGGATTGCTATGACAAGACTGACAAAGATGTTTGTAATTAAATGCTGGTTGCATTTGAAGAACTTTTGAAGTACGGTATAATGGTAATTGATAACCTAGATTAGGGACATGTCATCGATATAGTGAGATTTAGCAGTTGTAACTTTATGTGCATCTGAAAGAAGAGGTTCTGATAGGCCAAGATTAAGTATTGGTGAAGAACATTTGGCATATCTTGTTGAGCAACGATTTCATATTCAAGATATTGCCAACATATTCGGTTGCAGTAATTCAATGATAGAAAGAAGGATGAAGGAATACCAGATTTCTATCTTCAATTCATGTACTATCAGTGATATTGATCTTGATTCGCATATCGGAGAGATTACTAATGTATTCCCAAGGTGTGGTGAGAAAACCGTTAGTGGCAGATTAATGAGCTGTGATATTAGAGTGCCTCACGAGAGTTTAAGGGAGTCTTTACAGAGTCAATCCATCTGGCATCATTAGTCGTTGTAAAGGCGGGCTGCACAGAAGAAAGTATCAAGTCCCTTGTTCAAATGCATTATGGCACAATGATGGCTACCATAAATTGGTTCGTTGAAGGTTTGTCATTCACGGTGGAATAGACGGCTATAGTAGGCTCATCAACTACTTAAAAGTTGCAACCAATAACCAATCATCAACTGTATTGAATGCATTCATTCAAGCAGTCCAAGAAATCAGTTTGCCATCTCGTGTTCGTATGGACAGAGGAGGAGAAAATATTGAAGTTGCTCGTTACATGCTAAATCATGTAGATCGTGGTCCTGGTAGAGGTAGTGCCATCACAGGCCGTAGTACCCATAACCAACGTATTGAGAGACTTTGGCGTGACCTTTATAGTGTATGCATATCTTTCTTCTATTCCTTCTTTTACTTTTTGAAGACGTTCAATTGTTAGATGTTGATGATCTGAGAGACATGTATGCCCTCCACTTCGTATTTGTCTCTGTTATACAAAGGCACTTGAATCTTTCTAGAAGTGGGTGGGCCCAGCATTCCATACGTACGAAACGTAGCAAGATTCCCACTCAACTTTGGATAGCTGGGCTTCATCAAACTCAACATGAAGAAGTTATTACAGGTTTAACGGTAAGTTTAAGTTAAATTAATCTTTTTAATTTTGAGTTTCCCTTTTTATAAGGCTGATTGGGACGACTATGGTATTGATTGGGATGGCCCTGTCCCACTTGTTGAAGACTATGTTGTGCAGGTTGCAGAAGTCGGTGAAATGTTAACTCATGATCAGAAGGCAGAGCTTCAACAGCAGTTAAACGACCTTCATTTGAACTTATTCTCACTAGTAGACAAGCTTCGTCAGTATGTGGTTACTAAACTATATATATTAAATTACAATGAAACTGTCCTTCAATATTTGAATGATACATTTAATGTAAAAATGCATGTACTATTGTACATGCAGTTAAATGATTCATCATTAAAAAATATAATTATTGGATATTATGCCTGTGACAAGCCTAAGTGACAAAAGACATGTTTATAGTATAAGATCATGTAAGAGGAATAAGTGAAAAGTTTAAATAGTATGTACATGGCAGTCTGTTAATCTAGAGGTTACCAAATCCATCATTGCCTTTGACACCCCATGTCATAGATTCTTTGAACTCTT